GGTGGGTGGATGGATGGGTGGGTGGGTGAATGGATGGATGGATGGGTAGGTGGATGGGTGGGTGGGTGGATGGATGGATGGGTGGGTGCACAGAGGGATAAATTGATACATAGGTTGGTAAATAGATGATAGGTGACAGATGTTAAGTAGATCAAAAATAAATGTAGATGGTTGATGGATGGAAAATATGTGATAGAATGATTGATGGGCTGTAGATGTAGCATACATACTTGATGACATATCGCAACAAAAAGATGGAGGGATGGATAGTAGACATGTAGATGATAAATGTAGACACATATACATAAGCAGAAAATAGATATAGGTGGATGGATAGACACTGGATGGGTAGCTGTATGCTAGGTAGGTAGATGATATCCCAAAAGCAGCAAATGCATGGATTGGTAGGTAGATACATAGATGATAAGTCGATAGAAAATAGACAACTACAGACGGTAGGTAGATTTACAGAGACGAGACCGCAGGACGATCGATGGATAGATATGATGATAGATAAATGATCAATAGATATGTGATAGGTGGTAGATTGATACAAACGGTTACATGGGTGGATGGGTAGGTATGGACAGACAGACAGACAGACAGAAACTTTCATGCTAAGACAGCGTCCCTGGCCTCCACCCCGTGGACGTCGACTTACAGGATGAAGAGGGGGGGAACCTCTGTAACAGACTCGGAATGTTGGGGTGACTTCCTCATTTTACACAACATAGGGCAACTGAGGCACGGTGCGAGGGCCAGGGACTCGCGGGCTCCGTGTCGTCAACGAGTCCCGTGTTTTAGGTTAAAATGCGCACGTTGGGGAGAAGGGAGGAATCGCACCATCGATGGTCTGAGCACCACGGAGTTGGTCAGTCGCCAGCCTGGGCCACTTAGCGGGGGCGCAGTCAGGTTCTCTACACTGGGGCTGTTAAAAGAAATCAAAAGATCAAGCCAGGTGTGGTGGCGTGTTCTTGTAATCCCAGCTACGGCAGGAGGCTGAGGCAGGAGGATCCCAACTTCCAGCACAGCGCAGGCAGCTTAGTGACCTAAGGAGATCCTGTGCCCAGAAAGAGAAAAATGAAAAAGGGGCTGGGGTGGAGCTCCGTGCCCAGAGCCTGGTGTCAGGCCCCAGGACCGCTCATAATTACCTCACTCGAAGACAGCTGTTATTTGCTT